CCCCTCATGGTACAGCCACCCGTTGCTGAAACCCCATCTGCCACGTGCCTGTGACTGATTTCCTGGTGCAAACAGCTTCCACTCTGAGCGCAGCTTTCCTGCTGATCCTCCTAATAACCCAACACGCCTTTCCAAAGTTCAGCGCCGCGTCCCGCTGGAAGGAGCGGCTGCATGCTCACCATCATCACAGCAACAGGTGCAAAAAAGACCCCAGGGCTAGTTACTGATTCTCTAGTTGGGGTGATAAAGTTCCTGCACTAAACGTGAACGTTAAACATCATCGATTGCACATCAGCAAAGAGCCCAACAAGGAGATGGACCTTCCATGACTTCACAGTTTGATTTTATCTGCAGCAGCAGCAGCGGCGGCTGCAGGCAGAGGAGGAACAGATGAGAGTCTGAGAACTGCAGAAGAGGAACAGGAGCAGAAAGTGACGCCTTGGTGAGGACAAAAAAGGAAGGGGGCATTAACCACAGACTGAGTGTTGATACAGAACAAGTGAGTGTGACTCTCTGCTCCCTCTTCCTTTAAAGATAATGAATCTGTCCTCAGACACACTAACAGCCCAGCCCCGGTGCACCATGGGAGGCCTGAAACTGACCCAGGCCTGCTGGAGACACTCTGCTCTCCTCAGCTGCTGGTTCTGATGGTTCAATTCTATTCAGTTTATTTCTATAGCTCCAATTCCCATCATGTCATCTCAGGTCACTTTATAGATCCAGATCAACCAGATCATCCAGTCAGATTGATTCAAAGTTTTCTATCTAAGGAAAACCAGCTGATTGCATCGACTCATTGACTCTTCAGCAATCCCTCACACTAAGCATGGTGTGTTTTGGTCCACAGCGGATGGCTGAATGAGATCATGTGAACCCAGAGCTGAAGCTGAGCGCTGCGCTAAAACCTGCTGTAGCATGAAGCTGCTCAGCTCACAGCAGCTGACCTTACCTCGTTGTCCTCCCCGTAGTGGAAGGTGAGGTTTCTGGGTATGGAGGTCATTGCTTTGGGCAGACTGAAGCTTGGGTCCGACACCTGGTCCGGAACGATGTAGGTGCAGTTGAGGGCAAAGTCCGCATCCCTCCAGGAACTCACGTCTGACGATGTGCTCTCCAGCTTCATGTTCCACAGGACTGTTGGTTTTTGGATGATAGATTCAGACTTTGGTCTTTAGGTTTAGGTCTCGCCACTTTGGTGTGAGATTACTTTGGTTCTGCTGGGGGGGGGGGGTCCCTTCTTCAGCTCTGATGGTTAAAGCTCAAGATCTAGACAGACAGAAACAGAAGGTAGAGATTGCTGAATAGATTAGAGAGAACATCCAGAGAAACCTTTGAGATTGTAGGAATATCTGCTGCTTCCTTCCATCCAACGCTCTGCATCAATAAACACAATAAAGAAAAACATCTTCTGACTTACCGTCACTCATTGGTTCAGCTGCTGGACCTTCATGTCTTTGGCATCATCATCATCATCATCATCATCCCCTGCCTGCCCAACCTTTGCTCTGGTTCTTCTGGTTTCCCTTCAGCCTGTTGTCACTGTTTCAGCCTGACCAGATTCTCCTGATCCAGGACAGCGGCAACAGTTTTAGCTCGGTGTGCCGTCCAATCAGCAGCCGCCGTGGTCACATGATGAGCCGTCTGACACGCCGCTGCTGCTTTGGACAACAACACAGGGTGACGTGGTGCGGCTGAGCAGCAAGTGGTTGTTGTGATGAGTGCTTCCACGTGTCCACGCACGCGCGCACACAAAGAAGACGTCTTAATGAATGAATAAAGGAGCAGCAGATGGCTGGACTGGTGCCACTGGAAAACACTCAGGGACTTTTGCTTGGTTTGGCACTTAATGAGCAATCTGCTGCATCGCCCTGACCTACATCCTGCTCCACACACCGCTCTGCTGGGATTCAGTCTGGGCAGGATGTTGGAGCAGAATGACCAGCTTCACCTGTGCAGGTACAGATGTTGGTCCAGGTCAGACCCCCCCCCCCGGGCCGGCAGCAGGGAACAAACAAAGCTTTCCTGGCCTGCTGGTTGCAGCAGAAGTGACTCGTTCCTTTATGAACGTCGCTCCTCTTTGGCCCAGTTTCACAGACGTTAAAGTTTAGAAGCAGTAATGTTATAAAAGGGAAGCTCTGTGCTGCGGCCGCCAGAGAGAAGCGGCGGTGAATGGAAGCCATCATGCTGAATAACCTCTGAACACGTCTAGATGTGTTTCAGAGGCTCGCCCTCCATCCCTCCCTCCATAACTTGGCTGACGGTAAATTGGCTGCCATATGGTGCGGCTGCCTTTCCAACATGCAGCTTTAGTGAGCGGTGTGGCGTGGGGGGTTAAACCTGGAGGTAGGGCGGGGGGACGGGAGGATTTGGGCTCTTTCACTGACCCGCGCCTGGCTGGGCTAATTTCTCTAATTTGCAGACAGTCTGGGCTCAGGCTCAGAGGCTAAAGAGCCGTCGCTCCGGCACAGCGGGTCAGCCCACTCATGGCGCTCCTTGACACGTCGGGGACAAGCAAGAGTTCAGACTGACTTTTTCCATGAAGGGAATCCTCGCTGCTGGCGGGCCATGATCCAAGTAGGCCCAGAGCACAGAGCCGATGGGAGGGAGGCAGATGAGCTCAGAGGATCAGAGAAGGAAGACCTGAGGTCAGCTGTCTGAGACCAAATGATGCCACCTGCGCACCTGGCTGTTTTGTAACAGTCTGCTCTAGATCAGCACCAGTTGAAATGGTGGTTTGGCTCAGATGTCCGTTACAGAGCAGAGAAAGCAGCCGGCTGCTCGCCAACACACCCAAGTCGTTCCAATCTTAGAGGCAGAAGTTATTTGTTCCTTTGCTGCTCTGGTTTTTCATCTCATCCACTCCTGTTTCTATGCGCCTGATTCCCATTAAAACCAACAGACTGAACTGGCTGTGTGCAAACATGACAGTCAGCGTTTGGCTGCGTATTTAATGCATTAACACATCAAACAATCTCACAACAAACCCTGCAACAGCTCCGCTTCTCAGCGGCGCACCTGGACACTAAAAACACTAAACGCTGCCTGGTTCAGTCTGTCACAAACACCCAGTTTCTACCAGACCTAGAGATTCATCCAACAGAAGCTGTCCGACAGCACAGCTTAGGCTAAAGGAAGTCCCCGGAATATGTCAGTCAGCAAAGGGTCGGTAAACGTTTGGACGTCCAGGAACCGCAGAGAGAACCATCATTCACACAGGAGGAAGACATGGAACAGCGGAGAACGTCCCACGACTGGGACATACGCCGAAACCAAGAGGTCAGCAGTGGGAGGTCAGAGAAGGAACCAGAAACACTCGTTAAGCACTTGGTTCCCCGAGTTAAAGTCCTGAGTTTCAGACTCTGGCCTCCATCCAAGCCCAGAACCTCAGCTGAACGTCACACCTGCGGTTAAACATGGCGGTGATCTAATCTTCGCTGCTGCCATGAACGTCCTGAAGAAGCTGGATGGTGACGAAACGTCCACAGCTGTTGATTGGTCGATGGAGGACCAAAGCTCACTGGGTCCACTAATAAAGGTGTCTGAATGGCCTAGTCAAAGTCCAGATCTATATCTGGCTTAGAGGCTGTAGCTGGAGCTGAAACAGTCTGTTCCAGATGGATGGATGACGGACAGATGGACAGATTCAATAACATCTAGGTGTATTTACGATCGATATAAAACGTGTCCTTTATCAGCGCCTGATCGGTTTGTCCTTCAGCTCGCAGCTTTGTCCCGTTCTCTGATGCAATCTTTGATAACTGGGGATTTTTCCTGAGACTGAGTTTAACCTTGTTCCTTTCCCTGACTGGAGCATCCATGGATCAGACTTTGTTTTGCTGTTTCAGGGAAACCCAGAAACCTCCATGAAATCATCCTGGAGCTCCGCTTCCTTAGAACTGCTGTTTTTATAGCTGCTCACCAGCGTCGTATGTTCAGCAGAAACTGAAGGCATGCTGAACATGTGACGCACCTGCTGAGGAGTCACCCATGCATGCACTTCCTGTCACCCATGCATGCACTTCCTGTTAGCAGGAGAGAGCATCACTCAGCTGGAAGCAGCATGTTCAGGTTTGATGTGCAGCTCGAGGCACCAGGCTGATAGTTTGGATTATCAATCTGTGCTGCAGTAATCTGTCATCTCAGCTTTCTACAGACGGAAGATGTTGCATTTAGCGGCTAAGGTTGAGCTCAAACTTTGGACAGTAGACCTGCAATAATCCACTTTATCCCAGATTGATAAAGCTAGCTGCGCTGCAGCGCCTACATCAGCACCCATCAGCACTGGTCCAGGTTCCACAGCCAGGATGAAGGCCATGTTCTCCCTTCTAAGAGAGAGTTGGACTAATTTAAACATTTGGATTCTTCTTTAATCAGTTTTAGGATTATTGGAATCTCTAATTTCACCTCAAATCTTTCCTAAGCAGCATCAAAGACCAGCTGAGCTCCTTTCATCCTGAGTTTAACTACAGATGTTTGTTTATGGCCTCCAAGGTTCTGTGGGGAACATAAGAGAACAATCATCATCATCATTGCCACTGCCACTCTGGGTCCCTGAGCCAGACCCTTAACCCCACACTGCTCCCCGGGCGCCGAACAATGGCAGCCCGCTGCTCCCTGAGGGGAGGGGGTTAGATGCAGAGAGGGGAGTGTGTTGCTCTGTACTGGTGACGGTGGAATGAGAATAAAACGCTGGAAAAGTCATGAAGACCAAAGAACCCAGCAGACGTTCCTGTTAAAGCAGGATTAGGTTCTATAGATTAGATTATAGATTAGATTATAGATTAGATTATAGATTAGATTATAGATTAGATTATAGATTAGATTATAGATTAGATTATAGATCATCTGGACATGGAGAGGATGCTGCGGGACAGGAAGCAGGTCAGAGTAGATGGAGGATGGATGGAGCTGAATCCAGAACCATCCTTCCTGCAGAAGACCTGAGACTGATGGAGGTTCAGCAGGAAGAACCGGTCAGAGATCAGATTAGAGCAGGTCTACGGGTTAGAACGGCCTAGTCAAAGTTCAGACAGAAATCCAATGAAAATCTTTGGCATTAGGAGCACAGAGAGGTTTGGTTTGAAGCAGAACATCCATAACTGAAGCAACATTTTACAATGTTGGAAAGAACCTCAGCAGAACCTGAGGGCATAAATTTCTCAACCAGCACAGGAAGTCCTGTTTGCTGCTGATCAAACAGCAGAAACGGTTCCAGACGGAGCAGAAGGAGAATTAGTCACCAGCTGTTTTACACGCTGATCGGCCATAAACATGCGCTGACTTTTAGTCATGCTGTGGGACAGCAGACTGGGCCAGTCTGTCAACCTTTCAGCTCTCAAATGTAGATAAATGATGCAGCTTTGTGGAAATATGAAGCAGAGTTTCAGCTCAGCTTCATATTTCCACCTTTAGGGATTCGACCAGGCTGCTAAAATAAGGCTGAAACCCTTTGGTGTAGAACAGACCAATCAGAGCGCAGGAGGCGGGACCATAATGCAACAGCTCTTCTCTTCGCTACAACAGTCCGAACTGCAGCTTCAACAGAGCAGAGTTTGAATCTACGCCCTTTATTATGTCGCATTTAGGAGCAGTTTATATCGTTACACGGCTGGAAGAGCCTTCCTGGTTTTTATTTTATAAATCTTTGCCTTTCAGCCGTCAGTATCTAATTATTTCTAAACCAAATCTATCAGTCCTGAAAGCTTCCTTCCAGACTGCCTGACATGGAGTCAGTCAGACTGACCTGTCCAGCGTAGACCCCTCCCCCCTCCATAGACGGATGGCGGTGCGCACCGGCTGCACCGCCATCACGATGGAATAAGACTTAGATTTAGACAAACTTCCTTTTTTCATTTTTCTTTTAGCGAATAATCTCAACATTTAAAGAGTAACTTTTAGCCACCAGGAGTTTGACCTCTGAGCTGTAGGTTCAGCGCCCCTGCAGGCCACTGGCAGCACTGCACTGTCTGTAAATGAACCAGTCTCCCTGGGTGTTCTGGTTCTGGTATCAGACCAGTTTGGACCATCAAACGTCCAGATCAACACGTGTTTCTGCTCCAAATGTTTACATTTGATCACTTTATAAAATGTTTTTTCTTTTGTTTTGCGGCACTAGAGGCTCGTTTTCCCACAGTAGGCTGACAGTGTTAGGATTCCAGTTTTTATGAGCGACATGCGGGAAAGGACCACAGGCCAGACTCGGACCCGGGTCGGTCGCGTCCAGGACTAAGGCCTCCATACATGTGCGGCTAACCGCTGCACCACCTGCTTGATCTTATTCTGTAAAAACTCTGTGTACAAAATGGCAATAAAAGTTGTCTAATCTTAAGTCACCAGACTTGAAGGCGGAGTTTCGTCCTTTCAGTGGTTTCCGACACTCCGATCACATGTGCCCCCCCCCCCCCTGCAGCTAATTTCCCTGAGAACATCTGGAGGTGACCTCCTGCCATCCAGCTGCTGCAGTAAACAGTAAACAGCTTCAGGTCTTTGGCTGAAAACAGGATAATCTGCATCGTAAATCATCAGGATATCAGTCATCAATCATGTTGTTTACTGAGTCTGACCAGATTAAGCTC